TATAGATAAAAAATATTTATATTATAAAGTTCAAGGATGCAGAAAAATAACATATGAGCATAGTAAAAATTAATAAAATTTATATTTAAATTAAAATAACTTATATTTCTAAACTATTGTCTTAATCAAAAAAATATATAATAAACTTAATATATATATATATATATATATATATATGGACAATAATTATTATTATTAAATTAAAAAAAATTACTAAATATTTAATTTTATTTATTTTATTAATTTTTATTTTAAATTAACAAATATACGTAAAATTAACTACACTATAACATTAATATAATATAAAAAATATTACTAATACAATACATTAAAACATATATATATATATATTATAAATTGATAAATTAATTAATAATTTAATTTTTTATTTATACTTTTTTTTGTAAATATTTATTAATTATTAAATTTTGAATGTATATTAACAACTATATTTTTTTAAAAAAATCTATTTATATTTATGTCAAATTTATAATTTAAAATTTGACATATTTATATTTAGGTGTGTTGTTGTGTGCTGTGTATCTGGTATGTAAAAAGTTTTTGTAAGTACTTTACTCAAAAAATTTATACTAATAAAAATAAAATACACATTAAGTTACAAAAATATTATTATATATAATGTATTTAAGATTATTTTATTTATATTATTTATTATATGATCCTATTATATATATATATATATATATATATATTGTATATGATATTTTTTATTTTATTTTCTATCTTTTTTTATAAAATTTTAGTTTCTAATAAAATATAATTTTTATTTAAAGAATTTTTATTTATTATAAAGAAAAAGAATTAAACATAATATATTAATATAATATATTTTTACATACAATATTAGAAAAGAGATATTTATAATATCTCAAAATTATTTTGACTCTGTTGTTTGACTGTAATGATTTCAATACTTATGACTTTTTTCACGAAAGTTACATATAATATTTTTTGTATCATTCTCTTTCAATAAATGAGCATATTTTTATTCGAGTCAAAATAATTAGAAGTTTTTAAAAATTTTGATAAAAATTCTTGTTGAATCATTTTAAGGGAAGTTGAAATAAAGTAAAAAAAAAATTGAAAAAAAATAGAAATGTGAAAGAGGAAAAATTTAAAAGATGGAAAGGGTAAAAATGAAATAAAAAAATAACGAAAAAACTAAAAAAAAAAAAAAGGGAAAAACAAAAAAAAAAATAGCAAAAAAAAGAAAATGGAGTGACTAGAGATATAGAACCAGTTGTCGAAAATGGAGATTAAAGTCGCCAAAGATAGAGCACAGAAATGCAGTACTGAGAATGGCAACCCAGTAGAACAAATAGGAGATCAAAGAAGAGAGACACCCTAGCAAAATGCATTACGAGATCAAAGAAGAGAGATAGATCAGAGAAAAGAGAGATTGAAGATGAAAGGAAAATTTTTTCAGTCACGAAGAGGGCAAGAGATGTCACCTTAGGATTTTCCTGCGTAGTTCAACCTCTAGATTGGGTTGGGGTTGCAGTTCAATCCATGCAAAAGTTGTTTTTCAATAATTTCTGCCATGGCAACTGTTACCGCCATGAAAAAACACCAGAAAATGGCAACACTGCAACAACAAGGTTAAAAACCGCCACCAAATTCCGCCATGTCTGCCATTTAACAATGATTTATTAGGGATTTTGAGTTATTTAGTTTGATTTGGAAATGACGGAGACCTCAAAGGATCAAATATTCCTTTGGAAAGTTTCTCAAGGAAAACTGCTAATTAATGATGAGGAAAGGTTTATTAGGGATTTATCAAGTTCTAATTCATGTAATCAATGCTGTAATTGCCCTGAAATAGTTTTGCATATTCTTAGGGATTGTAATTTTGCTTCTGTTATTTGGCATAATTTTATTGTCAGAGATAATTAGATTCCTTTTCTCAGCTTGGGGCTATCTAGATGGCTTATTTTTAATCTCAAATGTAAATGTTTCATGGGATAAATAATTAGAATATTCAGTTCAGTGTTGTTATTTGGCTGTTGTGGTTAAATAGGAATGATTGAGTTTTTAATAGGAAATCTCTGAATTAAAAAGATTTTTTGTGTAAATTGAATTGTTATACTAGGTATATCTCAACTGATTATGTCTCTTTTTCCCTCCACAAGACCTGTAAGCATGAAGTTTTTATTGGTTGGACTCCTCCCCCGTTTCAATGCTTCAACCTAAATGTGGATGGCTTGATTCGTGGTGCTCAGGGACTAGCTTCATGTGGAGGCCTAATCAGGAATGATTAAGGCAGATTTTGTGCTGGCTTTATAAAAAAAATTGGGCCATTGCTCTGTTATTCAGTCTAAAGCGTGGGCTTTTTTAATGGGACTTAGGCTAGTTAAATACCTCAAATTAGAAGGTGTTTTAGTTGAAATGAATTCAAAGCTAGTCATAACTTTAATTAATTCTAACATTTCTCTTAATCATAAGATGTATCTTGTTAATAGGGAAATCAAGTTACTAGTCTTTTTCCATTAAGATAGTTAATATCTATCATATCTTTAGAGAAGTCAACTATTTTGCAGATGATCTTGCTAATTGAGCTTTTCAAAATGCATAAGGATGAGCTAGTTTTTTATTTCCCTTTTCTCAGCTTGTTCCGATCCTCCAAAGGGATAAGAGAATTTTTATTTTTCTAAAATGATTAGTTAGTTGTTTTGTTATTTTTTGGACTTTTGCCCCGTTGATAATAAAAAAGAAGAAGGAAGAAACAGTTTTACATAAGTATTTCTCAAAAAGAAAAAAAAAAGTACTAGTCACATCACTTAATCTATTATGATTAAATAGAAATTTTAAAAAATAAAAGTAATAAAAATTTCAAGAATTAGGTAGCACGGAATATAAATTAGGTATGAAAATATTTTTTTTCTATAAAATAACACACAAAAATTGTGCTACAATATTTTAAAAAACTATCCTAGAAATAGCTATTACTATGGTTATATAGACAAGAATTTTTGTATGATTTAATAACTATAAAAGTATAGGTAAGAATTAAAGTTGTTTCTCATTATGTTTTGAATTTATTCTTTTAAAATTATGTTATCACTTTTATTTGTTATAACAATTTTTTAATACAATAGATAAAATAAGATAATGTTATAAAAATGAAAATTTTCAGAAATCAAATATCATAAAATAAAATAAATAATAAATTATTTTTTATTAGTAAAATAAAAATATAAATAACATAATTTGAAAGTATGAAATCATTGTAAACATTATAATTGAAAATTTAGAACCAATTACACTGGTATGTTATTTTAAAAAATAGAATATAAATAAAGTCATTCAATATTATAATCATTATGGTCGTCCTTAAATAATGATATTTTTCTTTAATATTAAATTATATAGAAATAATTACTATTTATTTTTAAATAATTTATTTATTCTCACAAGTATTTTATATTTTATTTTAATTTATAAATATATTTAAAATAAAAATTATAAGTTCTAAAAATATGTAAGAAATATTGCTTTAGCATAATTTAAAAGATAAAAATAAAGAAATTTGAATTTTTATTTTGAAAATAATAAAAAACTTAATATATCATTTTTACATATAAAATATTTAAAGGATTGATGAAATATTAAAAATTGAAATATTTATTAAAATATTTAAATAAAATTATTAATTATCTAAATAAATAAAAATATTACTTTAATATAAAAATTCACATAACATGCATTACAAAATAAAAAATAATAATTACAAAATAAAATACGTCTAAAGATAATTTTGATTTTAAGAATAATTGTAAAAAAAATTATAATAATATAGAATTAAATAATTTTACATCTATTTTATAATTATTTTAAAGGAGAGAAATCACACTCCATTTCTCAATTTCCTTTTATATGATGAATGAATACATACAGTCGAAATATGTAACCTCTCAAACTCCACGTAGATAAATTTAATTTATCTTTTTAGAAAAAAAAAATTAATATTATTCAAAAAGAATTTTTGTTATCTGTAGACAAAAGTGTTCAAGTTGTCACTGACTTTTAATCATATTGTAATCTTCTCTATTTCCTTTATCGCTAATTTCAATGACATTTTATTTTATTATATTTTCTTTTCTTTTCTTTATCTTTATTTTTAATGACTTTTATTATATTATTTTTTAATAAACTGAGATAAACTTAAAAAATCTCACTCACATTTAACATTTTGTTACAATTTATTAATAATAATTAAATCTAAAGATTAAAATATTCAATAAATATAAAAATTAAGGACTAAAATAATATTTTCAAATTTTTAAAAATTAAAATATTTGACTTTTAATATCTTAAAAAACTAAATCAAGACATTAAATTTTTTTTTTTTGAACTTTTGCAAGATTATGTGCAACAAAATTAATAAATAATATTTTTACTAAAAATTATACATTAAATTTAATAAAAAATTACTATGTACAAATCTGTGATGCGTATAATTTTGCAGAAATTAATTTTTTTAATAGAAAACTGTAACCAAAAATATCTCAACAAATTCAGGCCTTAATTTGACCCCATACTTGGAAAAGGGTGTCCCACATTAATGGTTTCCTTAAACAAGGTCAACATTGTTCATTATTTGTTTCCAAAATTTTGGCTAAGTGTTACACAACTTCAACTTTTCAACTTAAGCCAAATTAATAAGGAATCAAAAGTATTTCAGGTTAACAAACTCACGCGCATAGTTTTTCTTTTCTTAAGAATTTCTTTAGAATCAGCCTCGTGTATAATGTCAAAGTTATTATATAACAGCTAAAAAATATAACAAGTAACAATAAAATAATTGTATTTGAGCTCTCAGAGTAGTAAATATAAGCACTAGAGAACAAAATCCAACACATGCCACTATTGTTGAGTATGGAGAGAGAGAGAGAGAGATTTGTATATGCCTGTGGTATGCACAGTAAGAACAGCTAAGAGGGTGTGCTGTGGAATGAATATATGTTCAATGTTGATCTTATCTATAGGGCACTCTCTATAATTGGAGGACCCAGGTACTCAATTCCATCCATTTGAGAGTTTTCTGGCATCTCAATTTCTTCCAACCATCCAAAACTATCATTTTCTTCTTTCGCCTTGGCACTCTCTCCATCTGCAGGATTAAAATTCATTATCGGTTAGAGAGTTAAAAATAATGTACATAGAATAATAGGTGAGACTTATTCACTATTTTAGACTATTTTGTGTTCCAATCAAGGGCTGCCACCTCATGTAGCTCATGTATAAATAAGAGAAATTTTGTTTTTCAAATTTAATACTATTGATCAATGTGCCACGTGAGCGAGGTAAGAGCTTTTATGGTAGCTTGTCTCTTATTGTCAAACATGACCAAAGAAATGCAAGTAGCTGAAACATTTGTGGGCCCTGTTTCGTTTTACAAAAAGCAAAGGTTTCTTTTTAGGGAAATAATAACGATATTCTTATAATATATTTTTCTAACATTTTGCTTTTGTCATATGATTCCTATTATCTCACTTTTCTCTCTTCTCTTTTTACATTTTTCAATGTATTATGTGACTGTTGTAAGAATAAAAACAAGGAAAATATCATAAAAATCAGACTACTTGCAAGATGCTAGCCCATGAATAAACTATATTAAATATAGATGTTATCAAACTTTGTTTAGCTTCTAAACCTCGAAGCTGAACCAAATACAGTTATAGAAAATCTCTTAAAAATAAAAATATATATTTTATAATGAAAAACATCTTATAAAATGGAGCTTTTATAGAAGTTAAATGGAAAAAAAAAAAAAAAAAAACTTTTAAAGAGAAAAGAAGCTTGAAAAAGCTTAGACAAACTCTACCATGGTAACAATTCCTTATATAATAGTTGTCTGTAATTTAAGTGTTGCTTACTTGGAAAAGCAGCATAAGGGTGATCTCTGTAGTAGGAGCAATCCCTGCCATCTTCTTTGGAATAAGGAGGCCCAAGGACATCAAGCACAGCACATGGAGTTATAGCTGTGAATTCATGGATGTTGCCTCCACTTTTTGGATACAGCACTGAAGTATCACAGGGTGCTGTGAACACATTATTAGCTTTTAGCCTAGCCAATCTCACTGCAAAAACAGCAAGTGTACGGGGTCAAATTCAAAACACTTAATCCATCCATGAATTCAGATTCATTTGATTTTGATGGAGATTTGATTACACACACTGAGATGGTTGTTGGTGCAACAAATTGTGAGACACCTCAGGATCAACCCAATCATAAGACTTAATGTGCATTTGACCCAATAGAAGCTTACTGAAAACAGTCATTCCTGGGTGGTTGTGGAGGGGAATGACTCCCTTTGCAGGTAGGAAAAAGATACAGAGCTGCATGTACAAAAGAAGTGTGCCATTAAATTAAGTGCATATCTAGCTAACAATAGCATTGATGAACAATGACTAAAAGTTGAGGTTCCAAGACTTACTGAGAAATTCTCACACCTATGTATGGTAGTGTATGTGACCCTTTGGTTCTCTTTGACAATATTTTCAGGCTTGAAGAACTGCAGATCTGATCTTAGCCCAACATCTTCTGGCTTCATGTTATCTGCTCATTAAGGCATCAGAACAAACAGATAAGGTAAAAAGGAATTGAAAATCTGAATTTAGGAAGAAAATTAAACACCTTTATATAAAATTTACATGATAATAGAATATGACTTGATGTTCATAAAATGTATATTAATTTGTGCATATAGAAAGAACTTCCAGATGAGAGACCTAATAAGAAGAAAAAAAAACTAGTATATTAGCCTCAAACGTTCATATTCTCTTAAACAATAAATGCACTTCAAATGTTTTCTTCTCTTGCTTGTGTTGAAACGTGAAATTTGATATTTAGTTAATTTTTTAAATCAATCAATCAATAATTCATCCTAAGAGGATGGAACTAGAATTTTTCCCTATTAGAATTTAGAACAAAATAAGCACTAACTAAATATAACTGACGCTATATTATCAATTCGTTCAATCTGAGAAAGAAAAATAAAATATGCATAAATAAAATTTTAAAATGAATAATAATTATATACAAAAAAAATTTGCGGCGTAAAGACAAAGAATTGAACCATTATTTTGGGTCGACAACTGGACCCTTAATGTGGTGCAAAGGCTAAAATGAAAGCACCACCTCCCCAGCAATATGAAAAGGCACACACTTCATCTCAAGAAAAGAACTTATAGCAGGGCTTCAGGGGGCTTTGTTTTTTTGAAATTTTGGGTCGTTATTAAAATAAGATAATATTAATAATTATTATCAGAAATTTTATTTGTACTTAGTAAGTATACCTCAAAATTCACAGCAAAACTAGCAAATGGAAATCATCTCGAATTCCAAACACATAACTCAACTTTGTAACATCAACACGAGATTAGACCGAAATAATAACAAAGGATCAGTAAACACATTTTCATATCCAAGGACATCAAATTTTATACCAAGAAGAAAATCATACCAAGAATGTGACATAGTTTCTGAACATCTTGAGGTGAAGGAACAGTGCCAAGGCCCTTGAATGTTTCCCTGCATGAAACAAACAGCTCCTGAAGCGCCTTTGGGACTTTAGACACTGCCTTTTTATGATTACACCTGCGATTGTAAGGTTTCCTCTTCTTGACAATGACCCTTTTGACACAACTAACCTTGTTAACATGTCCAACTCGATCTCCACCCTGCTCCATCAAACCACCCTCCATTTTAACTGAAACACCACCAATATCTTCCTTCATATTGAACCCAAATCTTCAATGTGATCACTGAATTCAACTACCCTTCGTCCTTTCACAAAGTCACTTTCACACTAATAATATCAGAAGGGTTATATAGCCCTCTGGATTACCGTGTCCTTGGAGTTAAACCACCAAGTTCAAATTTGCTTCAACTGTTTTGATTCATCACAAGGGAAAAATTCTTAAAATTTTAAAAAAATAAAATAAAAACTAAACACCCTGATTCTAGAAATTGACAAAAAGGAAACTTTCAACTTTTTTTTCTTTGTGGGGTTGTGAATTGCGATCTTATAGAACTGGGTAGATTGAGTGCAAATGAAATAGGTATGGTTTGACTAAAAAAGGAAGAAGATCTTTGATATTTGTAGAAACAGTGCAAAAAGTGACCCAAAATAAAGCTTATGTTAAGGATGAGATTTCTGGGGATGTTAGAGAAGGTTGGGAGAAAGTTGTAGTCACGTTATATATATTTGAATGAGAAAGAGAGAGAGAGAGAGAGAGAGAGAGTTGAAAACCATGGGCTATTTAGCATGGGATAGTGCTTTTTCTTTTTGGTTGACAAATGAGAACAGTTATCAAGTCTTAGAAAATAACAAAAGAAATTGGAAAGAGAAGCAGTATTTGGATCCACTTCCCGCCCCCATAGATTTTGTTTGGAAACTGGCGGTTAGAGCGACCCTTGTTTTGAGTTAAGACGGTCACCCAATGTGGATTTACCAAAACGCCCATTTGGTTGTGTAAACTATTTTTGTTTATTATCCGCTGTTGCTGCTTTCTACAGGGATCATCAGATGATCACACTGCCTTGCTAACTATAAAGGAAGATCATCAATGATTAAACAAATATGTAATTAAAGCTTACTTAGATCTATCATAACTATAAAATCAAAAAGGAAAAATGCAATAACAACTTGCTTAGATCTGTCATCAAAGTTGTGTGTGTATTAAAGGGAATGAATGGATCATATGGATCAACTTGTTGTGTACTGTGCATGGACATAAAAACAACTGTTTGTTTTGGGGCTGCAAAAAGAATCAGAAGAGTTGAAATTTGACTCTAATGAGTGGACATTTTAGAAAATAAATTATAATTATTTTATTGATTATAAATTAATAATTAAAATTAGAGAATATATATATATATATAATAAAATTGTTCAAAGAATTTGATTAAAATATATTGACACTATAATTTAGTATATTGCATTATATCAATGAAATTATTATTTTTTATAATAATTAATTGAAAATTATATTTATTATGTATATTAAAATATCGTGAGTAGACATTTGACTAATATATTCTGTTGATGCACAATTTGCTTGGAAAATAGTAAGGATCTTGAACAGTACATTTGAGTGGGTATTTTTTTTATGGTGAGATTTAGTTAAAAGTTCAAACTATGATAAAGATGTTATATGCCATATATGTGATTACTTTATTAAAATTTGATTGAGATCAGATGAGACAAAGTAATCTAAATCTTCATCCGTTGACCGTTGACCGTTGACACAGGACTCATAATATCTTTCACTCAGTAATTTTTCTTTTGATAAGATATACTGACATGTATTGTTGCTTTGTATGGATATTAATTAGAGTTTCAATTATTTCAAATAAGGCCTTCAACTTGTTAGAAAATAAAAAAAAGGAAATGAATAACGTCTTCCATCGATGAGGTTGGGCTGTTACAAATATCTGTCTTCACTACTCTCAAGTCTGTGGCTGCGAGAAGATGGAGATGGTCGAGAAGGTGGCTCTTCCTCTCCTCCTACCAAACTCGCCCCCTTCAAGACCCAATATTCCGACCACTCTTATCCATGACCTCACTTCCACTTCCTCTCCGCACCCACGACGGCGCATATCCCTCGGCAAATCCTCCGATCCCAACCGCGGCAAGCCATGGTCTTCTCCTCACCTTTCCCCGCAAGGTCACCAAATTCTTCATTTCTTAACTCATTCCCATTCCGATTCCGTTAACATCGATCATATTCTGCGTCCCCTTTTCGACCACCCACACCCCGCGTATCTGGCTTCCGATATTTTGGGGATAATCAAGGCTTTAGGGTTTAACAACAAGGGTGACCTTGCCTTGGCCGTCTTCCATTGGGTTCGTAGCAGGGATGATTGCGTTCCCCTTCTGAGCGGTTCTGCAATACCCGTCATCATCAAAATTATGGGCAAAGCGGGTCGGGTCTCGTCTTTGCCCTCCTTGCTTCTCGCCCTTCAAAACGATGGCTTTCAGATTGATGTCTATGCCTACACTTCCTTCATAAATGCCTATGCCAGTAATGGCAGGTACAGGGACGCCGTCAATCTCTTCAACAAAATGCAGCAAGATGGTTGCGCCCCCACTCTCATTACTTACAATGTCATTTTGAATGTTTATGGCAAAATGGGCATGCCTTGGTCTAAAGTCACAGCTCTTGTTGATGCTATGAAATCACGTGGGGTTGCCCCTGATTTGTACACTTACAATACCCTTATAAGTAGCTGTCGTCGAGGTGCCCTTTATGAAGAAGCTGTCAATCTGTTTGAACAGATGAAGTTGGCTGGGTTTACACCTGATAAGGTTACCTATAATGCCTTGTTGGATGTGTTTGGCAAGTCTAGACGGCCCCAGGAGGCTATGCGGGTTCTCAAGGAGATGGAGACAAATGGCTTTTCTCCCACAAATGTATCATACAATTCTTTGATATCGGCTTATGTTAGAGGTGGTTTGTTGGAGGAAGCCTTGGAGCTTAAAACTCAAATGGTGGAGAAAGGGATTCAGCCCGACGTGTTTACCTACACCACCCTTCTGTCTGGATTTGAGAAGGCCGGCAAAGATGAGCTTGCCATTAAAATTTTTGAAGAAATGAGAGCGGCAGGATGCAAGCCTAATATTTGCACCTTCAATGCCCTTATTAAGATGCATGGTAACCGAGGAAAGTTTGCCAATATGATGCAAGTTTTCGAGGAGATCAAGGTGTGCAACTGTTCTCCTGATATTGTTACTTGGAACACCCTTTTGGCTGTGTTCGGCCAAAATGGAATGGACTCCGAAGTTTCTGGAATATTTAAAGAAATGAAGAGAGCAGGTTTTGTGCCAGAGAGGGACACCTTCAACACTCTAATAAGTGCATACAGCAGGTGTGGTTCCTTTGATCAGGCTATGGCTGTTTATAAGAGCATGCTGGAAGCTGGAGTGGCCCCAGATCTTTCTACCTATAATGCTGTTTTGGCAGCGTTGGCTCGTGGAGGGCTTTGGGAACAAGCTGAGAAGGTTCTTACTGAAATGAAGGATGGTCAGTGTAAACCTAATGAGCTAACATATGCTTCTTTGCTTCATGCTTATGCCAATGGTAAGGAGATTGAAAGGATGAATGCTTTTGCTGAGGAAATATACTCTGGCTCTATTGAAACACATGCTGTTCTTTTGAAGACCCTTGTTCTAGTAAATAGCAAGAGTGATCTCCTAATGGAAACGGAACGCGCCTTTCTGGAGTTAAGGAGAAGAGGAATTTCGCCTGACATTACCACGTTGAATTCAATGCTTTCAATATATGGGAGGAAGCAGATGGTGGCCAAATCCAATGAGATCTTGAATTTCATGTATGAGAATGGATTTACTCCAAGTTTGACAACTTATAATAGCCTAATGTATATGTACAGCCGTTCTGCAAACTTCCAAAAGTCTGAAGAAATCTTGAGGGATGTTCTGGAGAGAGGTATGAAACCTGATAGAATTTCATACAATACTGTTATTTATGCATATTGCAGAAATGGTAGAATGAAGGAGGCTTCAAGGATATTTTCTGAAATGAAAGATGCGGTACTTGTTCCTGATGTTGTAACTTACAACACATTTATCGCAACTTATGCTGCTGACTCAATGTTTGCTGAGGCTATTGATGTAGTTCGATACATGATTAAGCAGAGATGCAAGCCAGACCAGAATACTTATAACTCTATCGTTGATTGGTACTGTAAGCTCAACCAGCAAGATGAGGCAAACAGGTTTGTTAAAAACCTTAGTAATCTTGACCCACATGTTTCCAAGGAGGAAGAACGCAGGTTACTAGAGAGAATAGAAGAGATGTGGCCATAATTTGTTTCATTACTCTTTGGATGCATTACTGGAATTTGGAATATTTCTCTTTCCTCCACGGTTGCCATTTTATATAATATTTGGGGTATGGAGGTTGGCGTTCACCCCATGTAGTTATAAATCAATGTATTTTTCAGTGGGATTTATTTGCCAGCAATGTGTGTCTCCTCATTGATGCTCGCTGATGCGGTTGTACAGAAACATTGGCAAATAAAAGAATAGAAAGAGCGAAGGGACTGGATGGCTTTAAATATCTTAGTAGCAGTGTGCTGTCCGGAAAGAAAAAAGTGTAAAGAAGCCTTTTGATATAGTTTCACTTTGTAGTAGTATTTACTGTTTCATTTCCAATTTAGTGTATTTGTAACAAATATGTAAGTTCTTATGCTTTTTGTTTGGAGAGGACTATGAAAGATTATTCCTGCTGGTGAGACTGCTGTTTGTATGAAGGGCAAAACTTTATTGGTTGATTCTACGTCCTCCCTTTTGTTGTAAAAGTCATAAAATTGTAAAAATAAAGCTGTCGTATAAGCAAATTTTAAAAGACATATGACCATTGATTACATTTTGTTTTTAATGGATGGTTGGGATTAAAACAGAAAATGTAAAAAATAAATGAATAACTTGCTTATGTCATAGAGGGTAAAAAAATAAATTGTAAAAAAATAAATTGTAAATTTTTATATATTTGGACTGTTGGCTATGAGTAATATGGAATGTTGGTTTCATGGGTTGTGATAACATTTTTAACATTGATTATGTCATTTCAAAAAATTAACAACTCATGTATTTTACTCTGTTTTGTTTATTTCACATTATCAGAGAAGATGAAACGTATTTTAGAGAAGATGGAGATTGGAGAAAAAAATGTTACTTTGTATCACATTTTTTGCATCATTCTTGTTTCGTTTGTAGTCATTAACTATTAGAATCACTATGAATAGCTTTTTGTATATCGATTTTCACTTATAACTATCAAAAAAGAGATGATGAAACATGATTGAAAGAAGTAAAAAATGTAACTTTTTATATTCATTCTTTAGAGAATCGATATAGAAAAATTATGTTTTTTAAACATTACTTTTTACATTTGTTATATGAAAGAACAGATGTAGAGCAGTATTTTTTTTTTTTAAATATACTTTCTAAATCTTTTTTTTAATATACTTTCTAGATCGGTTATTTCAGATAATCGATATAGAAAGTAGCAACCTAAAAAATATTAATTTTTACCTTAGTAATTTTAAAGAATTAATGTAAAAAAATTTATTAAAAAAAACTTTCTACATCATTTTTACTAGATAACCAAGATAAAAAGTAACAAAAAACTTTTGAATATTGTTGTTTTTAACATAGTAAACTTTGAATGGGCATAATTTTTTACACACAACTCATATTTATGCAAATTATATATTTATTTCATATAACTTTTCAAAATATGTTGAACTCTAACACCCAAAAGGGGTTTGAAAAAACTAAATTTCAAAATCCTAATATTTTTTAATGTTTTTATGTAAAGAAGTCTGTCAGTTTTTAATCTTTGATTGTGTTCGTCGCAAGTGAAGGACATAGAGTGAGCAAATTCATGTCATATGAATGATATGAGAATAAAAGAGAAAGAAAAGGAAAAAAAAAAAAAAAAAAGACAACCAAGGTAGGAAGTGGAAGAGGAAGAAAAAGTGCAAAATCATGTTATATGAAATTACCACTTTATCCTTTCATACATATAACTTGTATCACAAGTTTTTTATCTTTCATTTTTAACTATCCGATATTAATCGATGGTTTACAATATTTGAAAACTTTTTTGAAAGATTTTTCTTAAACAAAAAAGGGAGAACGGTAGAATAACTTAAACTTACCTTTTAAAACATAAATAACATGTATTAAGATCAGGTTTGTGGCATATATATATAAATTATTTTTCAATAAAGATACCTAAAGCTTTTAATATTTTTTTCTCTAAAATTTAAATTTTAATTAACTTTATTCATCCATATCACTCATCAAACAAATTATTCTTTCATTGAAAACTTAGTAAATTTTTTTATATATTATTTTCTTAATTTGTGCAATATTGCATAATATATATATATATATCAATTTTCTAATAAAATTTTAATATTAATAGTATTAATTTATTTACTTATAGTAATTTATAATTTTTAATAAAAATTATTATACATTATTTTTTATCTTATATAATGTTGTACTAGCTATATATTATAAAAATATTTTTAAATTTATTAAAATTAATAAACATAAGAAATATTTTTATCATCAATAAAATATTATATTGTGTTGAATAAATATAAAATTAATTATTTAAATTGATACCATTATTATTAATAATATAATTTATCAAAATTTAGAAGTTAAAATTAATATAATAATATTAAACTTAATTTATTTTAAAAAAACATTTATAATTCACTATATCATATTATTATTTAAAATTTAAATTCAATTAATATCATTTTAAATTATATAAAACAAAATAAATAAATGATGCAATTTAATTAAATAATTCTTAGAACATATTGTCATTTGATAATCCAAATTAAAATTTATAATTTTAAAATTAAACTTACCAGTCACAGGTAATGGGCAGGTTGAAGTTGTTATTATTACTTTCATCAGCTCACTCTCTGCAGCTGGGGACTTGGAGTAATTGCATTATTTCCTTGAGAATGTTAGATTAAATTAGTTTCTAGAAGTTAAATATGTATATGTGCACTTTAAAAACATTATTAATTTTATAACTTAAAAATAATCCTTTGTAGAGTATAAAATTATTGAAATTTGTCTTATATAACAATAAGATAATTATTCTGCTGTTTGGATAAGTACAATTTTGAAGTACACTAAAAAAACAAAATTACATTATGGTCTTTACACACATATCCATATATTTGCATAGTACTAATTCATAAGGAGAGGAAAGTAATTGAAGAAACTTCAAGATTGGTAGTCTCTTTCACTGAGTTATCATTGTAAGTTGTAATGGATAGAGATGGCACCTGCAAAATCAGAAAATCAGAAGAGCAACCCACATGATGCTTCTTAGCTTGCAAAATGAATTTGGTAACTCATTAACCAATCATTATGTGTAGCTTAACTTTCTTGCTCTTTACATACTTAGCAAAAATGCAAAGCTCTATCTGTCAAGTATACACCTGTATACATGACACGCAGAGCTCTTTTGTGTACATAATGTTTCATTTTTATTATATGATTACTGCCATAAATTATATTAAACATTATTTAAGATTAATAAATATATTTTAATAATTTAATTAATAATTTTACCAAAGCATATCTATATTGAAAGTAATGAAGTTCCTTGAGCACTTTAATGAAATAAAAATATCCAAGTGATGTCTAATATAAACATGAGAGAGTAATATTTTAGTGAAAAATAAATAAGAGTAATATATAATCCTTAAAGAAAATACATGTAAGCAACTAAGGAATATGAATCTCCATTTCATAGCATCAGAATTTAGTAAGAAGACATCTTTCACGTGGGAGGCAGGTGCTGTGCTCATAAAGGTTTCTGACTTTTTTGCATTTCTAGTTTTGTTTGCAATACTGTAGGTTTTTTGCCTGTATAGGGTTTAAACCAAAACATTTTATCCGTATGGGGTTCTTTGACAAAAAATTCCCTGTCTAGGATGATTTGTGAGTGTCGTCAAAACTGCTGATGGCACATGATCAAGTATCGGCTGAAAGAATACCGACACAGGTGTCAGACCCGACTACTGAGAGCGGTTCAAAATGAACTGCTCTCATAAATCAATTTTAGAGAGCGGTTGTAACAGAACCGCTCTCTAAAACGGACTTTTGAGAGCGGTTCATTTCGAACCGCTCTCAAAAGTCATGTTAGAGAGCGGTTCACACCAGTGTCGGGTTGTTCAGGACCGACACACACTCATTGGTCCAAGCCCTCCATCTTTGTTCTGTTATTCATCTTCTTCGGTGAAAAATTTTTGCAAACATACTGCAAACGCAGAGGTGGAGGTGGAGTGGAGAAGCAGGGCAGATGAATGCAAAAGTTTTAAAGCTTTGAAAGGTAAGAAAAAAACATTATAGTGTATATTAGATATAAATATAAAATATTTATTCTTGTTTCCGTTTTTAGTCCCAGGAATTGCAATCTGTGGTGGTCCAGGTATTGTGAGAAGGACTTTCGGTGGTCCAGATTCTTAGCAAAAGGAGGTTAGTAAAAATTTATATTTATAGTGATTTTGTTATGCATGTAAAAAATAGGAAAATAGGAATATAGAAAAATAGAAAAATAGGAATATTGAAAAATAGAAAAATAAAAAAATAGTTAAATTAAAATATATAATTTTCTTGTTACTTATGTAAAAAATAATTAAATAAGAAATATAAAAGAATTAAATAAGAAATATAAAAGAATTAAATTGAATAAATATATGAGGAAAAATTATGTATGATTATTATTATAAGGTTAATAAAATATAAAATTATGAATAACAAAATAAAATTGAAATAATAAGAATGAAAAACATTAATTAATAAATTTATATTATAAGAATCTACAGTTGTTAAATTTGTAATAATATTTTAACAAATATTATGTCACATAAATAAGAAATAGTAAATAAATTAAAATTGTGAAAGATTAAAATATAGTTATGCATCAAATAATTATAAATTAGATTAATTTAAAAAAATTAGAGTAAAATATAAGGAATTAAGTGAAATAAAGATGAATATATAAGCAATGTAAGTTAAATAATTTTAATTTATAATATTTCATTTCATTAATTAATTATATAACACATGTATTGTATGAGTTTGTTTAAATTTGTAAAAATTAATGTAAATATATAAAATATGTTGAGAAATAAAATCTTTATTAATATTAATTTTAGTATATTTTCTATCATATAAATATTTTTAAAATAGTATGTATATCTTTGTTATAATAAGCAATATGAATTGTCAATTGTATCGCTGGATTTTATTTGTTTGTTTTACATATAAAGAATATTTAATTTTTATGCTCAGGTGTACGGTAAGTAAAGTTTAAAACTCAAAGAAAATATGAATGAATTAAAATTTCAAATGCAAAAATAATTTTAATTTGAAAATTAGATACACCCACAAATGTGTAGATTTACGTATGTGTATACATGCATGTATGATATTTTATGATTATATTAATATTTATGTCTACGACACTCTACCAAGTAACACTGAACTAACAGTATCTAGCCAATGTGATTTTGTTTCTATAGCTAAGGTTTAACTTAAAATCTTACCATGATTCTCACGAACTACACTATTACATGTACACGTTACAAAAAGTTTATTAATCGTAAACAAATAGAGTAAGAATTATTATAATAAATGAAAATAAAAAAAACATGTTATTAACAACGTGCTTTTAAAACTGTTTTGGTTATTTTTTGTTGTTTCAATTTATTATATCAATATTATAGTTAATAGTAATTTCTACGTTTTAGGAATAATGTAATTTTTTATTTAAATTTATTATCAATTTTTTGTTACATAATTAGTTTCTATTTTTTTGAATTATTATAAATATACTGTTATTATTTATTAAAATTTAGTTTTTTCCATTCATTCTCCTCACAATTTTGCACATTTTTCTTTCATTATTTTTTTTTTTTTTTGCCATAAAAAATCCAACACAAGTAAGTATTCAAAACAAATCATATTCAAAGATATATTCTCAAATAATTAAATCAATAATAATATACAAAATTTATTAATCAAAATTCAATTCTCTAACTCCAATATCAAAATGGACAACATCGTGCTCATAAATATAATTACAACGGTCAAATATTAGGATCATAATTCTATACATAAATTATAAAATATGCATGCATGAGGCCCTTGTTTCATTTTAATATGAAATCTAATTAGTTAAAGTTTACATCTTGTCACTCTTAATATGATATACTTTAATTTACAGGACCAGTTAAAACTACAAAAATATTCTTTCAATTCCATAATTTTAGACAAAGACTCAAGTTAGCATTAAAAAAAAGTCATATTAGTCCTTTCACAACTACTTAATATTTGTTGATACAAAAACATAGATTACTTATAGTAAAAAAGTTTTTGAGAATAATAATATAAAAAAGTTTATTTTTAATTGAAGTAAATAGCATTATATGATCATGTAATCGATTTTATTTAATGAGATAAAAAATGATTGTTGTTATTATTAAATTATGTAAAATTTATAGTACAACGAAAATTTTCATAATTATAATTAAAATAGTATGTGAGAAGTTTAAAATCATAACTAGATTAAACTAAATTATCAAAATTTAAGAAACTTTTTTATTTACAAAAATTCATTCTATATTTGTTTTTAAAGATTATTATTGAAAATAATGAAAATAGTAAAGTCATTTTCATTGTTTTCTATACAAATTTTTGAAAATAGAAAATAAAATAAAAATAAAGTGACAGTTTTATAATTAAAAGTAAAAAAATAAAGAAAGTTATTTTCTTCCTAATCAAAGAGCCCATAACATTATTTTATTTTAAATAAGGTTTCAGTAACACAAATTTTTTTTTAAAAAAAGTCTTAACTTATAACATGTAATTTACTTCGGCTTTATTTGACAAATTGAATTGAAATTAGTTTGAATCACAATTCTTAAGTTTGGATTGTTAAAAGAATAAGATGGTAGAATTATGGTTTTGAGTTGAATTTTAATTCTATTTGGACACTTCTAGGCTCTAGCTAATTAGGAGTTGTTAAGGGTAAAACTAAGTTAGATTTTAATAATAAAAATTGAATTCACATGTGATACGGGCAATCATAATGATACTAGTTGAACAAATAGACGGTAGAAATGGCAATGGTGATAGTATCATCCACAAATGATAGTGATATTGACGTCAAAAGTAATAATAATAATAATAATAATAATAATAATAATAATAATAATAATAATAATAATAATGTTGTAAGTGATTGTAATATGACAAGAAATAATACTTAACAGTAGTTATAATAATAGTAACGATATTGATCACAATGACAATAATAATTAACTGTAACTAGTTGATTTAACAACGATAACAATAATAATAGATATCATGTGAAAAATAATAATAATAATAATAATACTATAAATTAAGAAAAGAATTATAATTCAAAAAGTAAAATTAAGAATTGAAAAACTTTACTTAATTATAATAATTTCATGAAATTAAACTTCTAGAATCATAATTTTGATTTTAGAAAGACTTCTAAACACAATAATTACATTTTTTTTTTAATTTGAATTCTCAGCTCATGATCGCACTCTGATGCTTCAAAAAATTTCTCAACCTCTATACCTTCATTGAAATATAATTCACATTAAATGAAAATTAACTGAAATTAATAATATATGAAAAAATGATTCGTCAACTGTCGTTATTAAATGTTTATTGTTGTCAACTCTACGCCTGACAACGGCATTCCAACACTTCAAAATATTTCTCAACCTCGATACCTTCATTAAAATACAATTCATATTAAATGAAATTTCATTGAAATGTAAAATCTATAAAAATATGATTCCTCAAATATGTATTTCTTAAATGTTTATTTTTGTCAACTCATTGTCAATATGATTCCTTATAAATTTATTGCTTTGATTTTATTTCCTTATAGTTAAAAAAAACTCATTAATCGTATATCTTATCAATAAAAAAGCTTAACCTGGATAATTCTGACATTCAGTTTCTTTTTAATAACATCAACACATACGGACTAGATTCTAAAGCGGAGAAATAATATAATTTTAAATGCAAACGAAAATCTTCACACACTTAACGAAAGTCATAATGATAATCCTTGGATTTAGATGTTGTCGAACTAATGCGTTGTAATTCAATGCCTTGGATATTTCTGCTCTCAAATTTTCATCTTTCACATGTCACTCTGATCTGCACATCAGGTAAAAAAAATGTAGAGAATATGCAAAATTATAATCATAAGATGTAAACTTAAGAGATGTATATAATCTTGTTTAACTTGGATTTAACACTATGCAAAATTGTTTCTGGCTTTCTCGTTTATTTTGTACATGACATCTATATTTTCATTGCCTCAGCGGAATGTTGAACTACGATTCCCAGAAGCAGGAAATGCCTGCCGTCTTCTACCTTGTGGCAGTTGTTTAGTCAAATCACTTGCTGGTCCCTGTCCTATGGTTGAACGCTGCTTCTTGCTACCTGAATCCTCCATCTCCATATGACCATCACAACTCTGGGAAGATGCATGCGTTTTGTCTTCTCCAAACTTAACATGTTTCCTAGCAGCTTCATAATCAAAAGGCTTCAGCTGCAATATGCCACTGGGCTGTTCAGTTTTCTTGGGCTGTCTGGTTTTATTACTTTGATCATTTGAATGAAAGCATTTTTGGAAGTTTGATGACAATTCTGAGAGAGACACTGGTTCGTCTTCATCCTCTTTCCCTGAAGTGGACACAACATAACTTTTCTCCCTGTGACCATCATTGGAGTTCTCTAAGTTATTCTGCTCCGTATCCTCTGCGCCTGTATTAGAATCTAACTTTATAATCTCATCTAGAGTGGAGGCAGAAACTGGATCAAAAACAAGTTTCGGCGGTTCTGATGTTTCAGATGCTACACTAGGAGTTTTCACTAAAGGTTCTGACTTCTCATTGCTTCCCAAAAAAGAATGGAAAGGAAGGCTAACTGAAGATCTAATCTGCTCTAGCTTCATCTCTTCCTTGCCCTAAGAAGAAATCCCAAAAAGCAGTATGAAAATGAGTAGTCAGAACAGGTGTTAATATTAGAACAACCAGATGGTAAAGCACGACAGCCAAACAGTTAAAAAAAAAAAAGGCAAACTAACAAGTGTACACTCTTACATAACAGATATTCATTGAGATGTTTGACTAAAAGCATACCTTATCAGGACCAAGCTTCCTCTTTGAAGCCGAATTCCCCAGCAGCGCCCCAAAAGCACCAGAAGGCTTTTTTAGCAGTTGAACAGTTGCTCCATTTCCCTATCAACAAATTAGCAATATTATTTAGATCGATGCTCATAACTAGGGAGGCCTAACATTATATTAATGTTGAAACACAATTTTTGCAACCTTTGCTGTAGAAAGTGCACCAACATTTGCATCCTTACTCTGCTCTGAAATTGCGAGACTGTCTCTTGGAAGCTCAGATGTAAGACTATTGGACTTAATTTGTATTGGTACATTCGTATCTTGATGCTGAGAAGATTCCTGTTTAAGATCCAAAGAGTAAATGGTAACGTCACTAAGATATTAGTGTTGTTATTTTTCATTCCAACACCTTAATTGCATTTCCAACCTTTAAATTTTGTGTACGGGATTGAGTATCTTCAGTTCCATCTGTAATGAGTACTACATTCGATGCCTGTATAATGATCATCATATAATTTAATCATCAAACAAAGTCATAAAATAAAACCAAATAACACTAAACTGGTTAAGCACTTTAACAGTTGAGAGGTGTTAATTCCCAGAAAAAGAAAAACTGGGTAGAAAATTTCAAGAGATTGGCAAAGTAGTTAATTAGACTTCTCAGGTTACTTGAAATGGCCAATTTATAATCATTGTATATTGTTATAATTTATAAATCTAATTTGAATTACTCGTAGACATATATAATCATAATATATCTAATATAAAAGTGTTAGTACTTCGTACATCTAATACACACATTTATAATATAAGCAGAGTAAAATATAAGGTTATTCATGTATTATGAATTTGGTAATCTTAATCTTACTGGGATGTATTTGAATAAGTTTCACCGCACTAGTGCTTGACCAAATTCGTAAATATAAATGGGTGTTAGTGTTTGGTACTTAATACACAACCTTTAATCTTGGACAAATAAGAATAACGAATCTCCCACATTAATAACGTGCATGATGTATTCATAATAGTCAATTCATCATCAGACAAGACCTAGGATACCAAATTGTAAGTACAGGGAAGAACCAAATCATTGCTATGGCAATTGTAAAAATATTACTTACAGCGTAAGCCTGTCCTTTCAATTGTTGAGCATCTTCTTCAAATGCAGCAGCATTCTGAATAGAATGCCTAATAATGTTGACAACAGTATCAAGATTGTGTTCAACATATGGGTGTTTTGACTTCACCAATCGCCGTAGCTTGCTTGTAGTGAGAGGCATCTGCTTAGCTTTTAAATAAGTAAATACAAATTAAGTTAACACGTACATACAGCCAAATTGCTAACGTTTAGACAAAGATATAAAGATTGCATATGTTCCATACCAATTTCAAGAAGAGATTTATTTGGCAATACATATCCTGTACTCTCATCCTCTGCCCGGGCAACAATATCCCGCCATTCGCATAGACCCTGCACGTCATGTGAATAGAATATATGAACTATAATTAATGTTGAGAACTGATAGCAACTAAATGCAAAGTAAATGTAATATATAACATGCCATATTGTATTAGGTTCTGTAGGAGATGGAAGCTATTTTGGACAGTTTCAGAAAACGTAAAAAAAATCTTCAAATAAAATCTGACAGTATATAGGACAAGGATGCTTGAAAGAAGAAGGGAATTTCTGGGCGTCCAACCCAAACTGTTATGTGATAGAAACTAGTATGCTACAGCAAGATAACTATTCTAGGAATGCCAAGTGGAGATTGAAGTGATAACAGAGCAGTAAGAAACTGCAGTATTATTATTAAAGCAACTGAAGCAAAGGAAACAACAGTATTGAAGATAGTGAGTAGTCAGAAATGGCAACAATAGCTGCAACTGAGAATTCGACAATGAAGGTCATGATTGGAGTGATACTAAAAGAGCAAACTAGACTTTTCATTAAATAATAGAATCACCAAAGAGATTAATCTATAAAATTACAAGGGGAATCAGTTTACCTCATTTGTGTCAAATTGAGGTTCATGAGGAAATAATGGCTTCCTAATTATCATATTTGATTCTTAAAAACCAAATACAGAATTCTAGATTATGACAGAATTTACCAAAATACTTCAAAAACCCATGTCCCAAAATTTATCAAAAAGGATTGGCTTAGTGGAACTGTGAAAACCATTTTTCATATTCACTGTAAAAATGGTGTTAGATCAGGGGGCAAGATTTTGTTGCCTATGTAAGTAATCTTAGATCGGTGCTGAAAATAAAAAGGAGCAACTTACAGAAACAATAGCAAGCTGATGAGCATTGAAATCAGCCCCTTGCAACCTGCCCAGAAACAGGAATTGGATTTTGCTTTGTACTACTTGGCATGTATTACATGTAAACTTAAAACATAACTCTCTTTACATAGAAGATACAAAAAGTAAACAAGATGAAGATATATATAAAGGCTAGGTGATCAATTGCTACTGATATAGAATGCCAATTAATGAAAAAACAGTAATTGTAAAGGTGACAAACCCATAAATATGAACATAGGAGTTCTCTGTCAGAAGTTCTTTTTCATATAGCTGCATGCAGACATCATAACTCCGCTTGTAGACCTGTTGGTTTATGGAAAATTCCAACCAAAAGCCCAAAAAAGGGTTTATCGAGTCATGTTGTATCATCATTTGATTAAAGATTTAAAAATAAAAATATTGCACCAAAAACTTAATCTGATCAAGGAAAGGTCAAACAAGCTAATCAACCAATGCAAGATTGTAAGATGAATAAAAATTATAAAAAAACTGAGACAAAATTGTCGATGGGAACAAAGGAGCACCACATGGTTTGTGGTAAAGCATTGATAGATCACGTGCTCATCTAGTTAGTTTGATCTAATAAACTGGACCACAATGAAATAACAGCAGATTGAAGCAATTAAAACTGCCAGTGTGGTAGTTTGGAGTTAGCTTATTTTGAGAGGAAAAAATAGCTTTTTTGTCAGCTTCCTAAGATATTTTGAGCAAAAAAAGTAAGAACTATTACTTCATGAAGCAATCATAAATTACTAAACCTTGTAAAGTCATTCATGATGACATAAATTTAAATTAGACAACAAATTTCCAAACTCAATTAAGCATGCAAGGCTGATGTTCAACCAAATGAATTTTGTTGATACACTTTAATCCATAGCATCCACTGGCAAAGATTTCTTGGGGGTAGAAAATAGTTACCTCCACCAAAGGAGTGTCGGAAGACTTAGAATTTTCAGAATCCTTCGACAAAGCAAATAACTTAGTCCTCATTAAATCATATATATACAGCAAATAGTGTGTATCTTCTCTGGCATATCTGTCAAAGAAAAATGCAAATTAGATTGTAGTAAGTAGTTTTCCAATAACAGTGGGCCAGTAATTATCAACCTAAAATCAAGATAAGAGAATAAACTATTTTCTATTTTGGGAAAGGGAGATGAACCAAAGACAAGATGTTTTACAACAGTAGAAATCAGTAATGCTTGTGATAATTTTAATTTGCTTATTATTCTCCGGGTGGAATTCTGCAGAGTATCCTTCCTTTGTTAGGGAGAAAGATTGCGGAAGTAAAAACTAAGATAGGATGGAAAATAGAACAGAAATAACCAGCCAGTAAAACAGAGATCCAGAAAAGAAAGGGGAGTGGGGGGTGGGGATGAGTGGTAAGAGAATAGTTAGTTATAAACCTATGGTTATTATTTCTTGGGTAATCTTTGGACAGAGAATTTTCCTTCTCTGAGGAGCACACTGCTCTGGAACCTTAATTTTTTCTTTCTTGCTAATTTGCTATAACAGCTTCCTGAGCTGGTTTTAGTGATCAATCAGTTTCTGGTTACTCAATTCAGGTTTCTAACATAGTAGGATACTAACAACAACCACAACAACCAAACTTTATCTCACTAAGTAAGGTCGGCTACATGGATCATGCAACACCATTAATCTATATCAAAAACTAAATTTTCAGAAATCTGATTAATCGAAAAGTCTTTTTTAATAACTTCATCTATGGGTCTTTTGGGTCCCCCTCGACCCCTCTTTACCAGACTAAAAGTCATACAATTCACTCTCTTTACTGACGTCTCCAAAAGTCTTATTTGCACATGACAAAACTACCTTAAACAATTTTTAGTCATCTTTTTCACTATAGGTTCTAATACAATATTCTATCATATACTATCATTTTGAGTCATGTCCTTTCTTGTGTGTTCACAAAGTGATAAAAAAAACAAGGAAAACAGAAAGACTAATTGAGGAAGCTTGTCAAATTAATCTGATTATCTGCCCTTGAAGAATTTGAGGAAGCTTGTTGTTAGGCCATGGTTGAACTGAGTCAAATCAGCAGACCACATTCTATTTTAGGGGGCAGATTCCCAAAAATTCTGCCATGGCCACCATGACTTGCCATTGCAAACCCACCATGACTTACCATTGCAAGTCCGCCATGCCACACCATATTTATGCCGGATTGTTCAAAAGCCACCACCGTTTTCCATCATGGCCGCCATTTGATAACACTGATATTTAGTCAGCTCAGATATGCTTAAGGCCAAGTAAATAGCATACCTGAATATCCTGAGTGTTGAAGGTACCATATGAAACTTATGTCTATGGGAACAAGAAAAAGGGTTGCTTCTTCTTAAAATACATACTAACATCCAGTGTTGTTAGAAAACAGTTATGACAGCACTATGGTGGGTAACAGTGCCATTTTTCCACCAAACCGCCATGACCATGGCAAAATATGGTGGTTTTCATTGGTGGCCATTAGGCGCCTGATGGTAACAGCGGAAATGGTCTTTTTGACAGGAAAAATTGGGTAAAGCCACAGACCCGACTCAGTCAAGAGAGAAAACCCGCACGCCCAAACCCTAAATCACACATCTCTTCTTCCTCTCTCTTCTTTGTCTCACGTCTGTGTCACTATTGCACCACCGTGGAACAGCGGTCTGCCACATGATACTTGCTGTCATTGTTTCTTCCGCTGCAGGCCCTAATCACAGACAATTGTAATGGAGAAAGGAAGTGAAAGTCCAATCTTGCCCTTCCTACAGTGTTATTTAGGGCTTTTTTTAAGGGCAAAAGTATTTCCTTCTCTTCTCAAGCAAGCGGTATGCACACATGTTCTCTCCCTTGCTCTTTTTTCTTCCTTCTTCTCTAAAGTCAACTTCTCCTTCATCTCTTTCATTTTTCCCAGCAACTGTGAGTGGTGGGCCCTGTTTTTCAGCATCTATTTTCCATTATGCTTCTCTGGGCTCTGTTTTTCTGCTTCATACAGTGCTCTATTTGTCACTCTCTTTGCATCTATTTTGCTTTTTCTTGTGCTATGTTCTTCTTCAGATAGTGTTCTGTTTCTCACTCATTCAGCATCTTCAGTTTTCCTCTTTTTAAGTTTTTCCCTCCCCCATTCTGTTTTACTCCCCCATTTTTTTCGTTTTTCCTTATTATTCTGTTTTCTTGATTCTATTTTTAGTTCTCTGTTTATCTGTTATAACTTCAGCTCTATTCTCTATTTTACAACCATTTTATTCTTTTTTCTCAAAACGTTCTTTCTTTATATGTAGTTAGTTTTCCAGTTTTATATCACATTTTGTAATATATATATAATTTTATTATGACCGTCATGCTTTCCCCATAACCTGCCATCTGCCATTGATAACATCTTAGTCTCACTCACAAAGGTCAGTTGCAGCAGGCCGTCAAACCTGGGACTACCAAATACTAAAGATTCTTAGTATGCTGAACAGTGACACAATGGAATTACTTATTTACCTCATAAATTTTTGAAAACCAGGGGGAAAATTTAAAATTCAGTAGACCAGAATGAACAGAAGAAAAATAAAACAAAGAAAGAATCAAGGGAGTGTCAAATGTGACAACTGACAAGTGTAAAATAGAATTATACCTTAGCATCTCATCAGGAAGTGGGCGTAGTCTCCAGTCTGCATTCTGGTACCTGCAAGGAGCTGTAAGTGTAAACCTTCTACAATTTTTGCGAGGAAAAAAAAAAAGGAGAAACCATACCAGAAGAAAAGGAGAAAAAAAGACAACATACTCTTTGTTTGCAGTAACTTCACAAAAATGATGCAGAATATACTCCAAACTATTTCTCTCCAAATTTAACAGCTTTGATGCCTAAGAAATGCATTCAAAATAGGATTAGTCTTGTATCATAAAAAAAAGAGAAGATTATTGTAACTAAATTGCCAACATGTGATAAAAAAACAGGATTATGGCAAGGAGAATCAAAGGCAGAACTTCACAGGCACTGTTTCACCAATTTTCATGCTGCTGAACAAATTGATACATTATGAACACATGAACAGATAAATGCTGTGTCCACCAATCAAAGAAAATCTTACATGACAACTATCACTAACCATAAAATGATATACAATTTTGTTACCAAGCAAAGTAATAAGAGTCTCAAATTTGAATAGTCAAAGCGTTTACACAAACCTGGTGAGTATCAAACAAATTACAAACATAAATGCCAAAGTCTCGTTGAAGCCACACAATGTCTCGATCCGCACCATGCATGACCTAATTAAACATAAATATGGTCAAAAGAATGAGGCAACTAAGTTGAATTGAGCTAATCATGTGCAACTAACCTTCCTTTTGGCAGGGTCCTTGAAGACTTCCCTAAGATAGGGCCCAACATGAATACGTAGTTTCAATGTGTCAACAACAAAATCTTCAGTTCTTGTTGAGATTTGCATCAAGCAAGTCAAACCTTGAAAAGACCGATATTGATTATGCTCCAAATCAACCTAAATATTTCAAGTCAAGACACAAAGTCAAAAGAATGCAATGAAAGGAAGGGAGTGACTACAAGAAAAGGGGAATATCAATACAACAATCAAATGAAATAAAATCAAAAAGCATCCAAAGGCAAATTAAAAATCAAAGAGTTATATCCTATAGAATACAAAAACAATAAACATGAGATACTAAAAATCTTCACAATCAACAGAGAAACCACTGAACTCAGTACACATACATTATGATAACAAGAGAAACATATCCAGACAAGATTGCAAGCAATCATATTTTGCATAATACAAACTAAGCATAACGCCTTACCTGAATAACTCCCCAACCAAAGAATAAAACATCATAAAATGACATAATAACAGCTTACTTTTGTCAATGAGGAAGCTTGAAAGCTAGAGCTTAACAGCCTGTTTATTTCTGCTTATTTTCAAGGGAAATTTACTATTTTAATTTAAAAAGTTTACAAATTTATGAAAATAAATAAGTTTCTTGTTAGAAAATAATAATGTAAAAAAATAGGTAGTTTTAGTTAGTGTTTCTCTCTTACATTGGAGTAGCTTATGAAAAAGGAAAAAAACACTTAAAAAAGGTTAAAACACTATTCACAATTTCTTTTCCAAATAAATCCTAGGCCATTCAATATAGATCATGCACACACTAAAAATAACATGAACCAATTGATATTATGAACTGATTGATATTATAACTATTGCATGCACTTTAACAAGCCCATATCAAACAATGTCCAATGCTCAACAAGAGACCCTAATATTATAACAGTTAAGGAGATAATTCCCTGTAAATATCAAGGGAGATGCAAAATGTAAATAAATAATCAAATCCAATATTAATTTCTGACACAGAATGGTAGCCTAGGTTGCATGAATATGGGTTTGGAATGCGACAATTTTTAAAAATTAAAGATATGGGTACAGTAATATAATTTTAAAATAATATAAAGAGAATTAAAATATTTTGTAAACTGTTGTGAGAACATTTATTAAAAAAAATTAACAAACTGGTATCTTACATCTGATAAGCAAGGATGAATGAATTTGAGTAAATAGGGAATCAAATATGAAAATTGAGAGAAAGGTAAAATAATCTGTAAATTTAACAGAAAATTCGTCTTTTTTTTTTTGGGAGGAAAAATGGTCTAGCTAATAACTAGCTATACCCCAAGTTGCACCTAGATTAATTAGAGGTAGATACCTTGAATTACAAAGAAACGGACCAGAATTTGCACTACTTAAGATTAATATTTAAAATTTCAAAGGGAATTTTTAATTTTATCATGTATTATTGCAGTTCCACATATCAAAGACAAGAATCAAGTAATATAACTGGCTGTGAGGAAAATTCTAAGTAAAAATTTAGAAATAGTGATCATGTTTTACCGCAAATTCATTAACAGAACGCAGCTTAGCAGCCAACTCCTTCAAATCTTTGACTTCCTCCACAAGCTTGAAAGGTGTGCTTTCTATAGAGGGTGGCTTCATTGGCACAACGTCCCCAACATTTGTATCAACAAAATCCAAAACAGAGAGCTTTTCCTGAAATAATGAATTAGTAATTGACTAACAAAAAGAGATGATGACAAAATGAAAAAACCCAACTTAACACAGAACAAAAGAAATCAAAATTATGAAATATTTTCATAAGCACACAAACAAAGGATGCAGATTGCTAATCCAAAATGAGACAACCAAAAGGTATTCTACAGGGATTTAAATGCCAGAAAAGCACGATGTCAAATGCCATCAGACAACCAAATGTCATTTCTACCAAGATTTAAATGCCAAAAATACCATTTACGAATTACCACTTTCACAAGGATTTATTCTTTCATGCATCAAAAGTCTCTCAATAAGGCTTATTGAGTCTTCAACCCAAGATCATGCAATATTACGAGAGTGAAAGGGTATCAACATGATAAAGACAATATCATTAAACCCAAGCTATTACTGCTTCCAACTATACCATACCTACATATAAATAGTCAGCATGATCACCATGGTGAATGCTAAGAAACATCTCATGCAACTTACATAACAATATCCTCTTCATTGAAAAACATACAACTAAACATTAGAATTGGCGAAGGGGGGAAGTCAAATGTGAAGCCCAATTTCCTAGTTGAAAGAAGAACTTGTATTTCTTGGAATTACACTTCACCCATATTTGCTCAAAAATTGGATCATCCCTATGATTATGTTTGAGAGAGAATGACATAAGAAAAAGAAAATATAATTAGTGCATCCCATTCCCAAAATCAATCATATTGGTTCATTGTTTGATAGAAAATGCTTTTCTCTCTCTCTTTCTCTCTCCAATAGGGGTACAGGACCATATCTATGTCCCATAACTTAACAGGAAAGGATCCAAATCCCTTCTCTTACTAAGGAATGCTCGGTCCTAGTCATTACAAAACTCCATATAAAGTCAATAGCATAGTGATTGCGCCAAACCTTATCCCACTAGATGTGGTCAGCCATAGTGATGCCAAACATCTGATTCAATCTTGCTGTTTAAGGGGGTGAAAACTGAATATTACATGACAAATTAACTACATACATCCATGAGAAAATTTAATATGAACAAGATCACAGAACAACTGTAAGCAAGTTATTACTTGCCTGATGAACTTGATATACACTTGAACCTAAGCCCCAAATTAACTTACCAATAATAATAAATAAAAGAGCCTACCCACCTGTGAAAATATATATAGGTGACTAACAAATGATCAATTTAATTGATGGCTGATTGTAAACAGTCCCAGTTGAAATTTTTTTCACTTCAAATAAATTTGTTAGAAACCCAAAACAGCAGGGAAAACAACAAGATTTACTTTAAGCTCATTCTAGTCATGTATTCACTACTTAGTTAAGTACTACCAAATCATTAAAAAGATCCCGACTATCACAAACACAACCTATAAGTCTTTATACTCCAGTGATGCACAAACACAGAATTCAAATTTAAACTCAATAACAAAAAAAAAAAAAAAAATAACATCAAGCCAGTGAATGAACTAACCAGTGGATGAATAAACCTCAGTCCATCATCACTCCTCTGCAACCACACATGCTCAAAAGGCATGTTAGCATTATTAACCACTATGCTGTACTCATCCTGCGGCCTCGGAATCGTTGGTATATGAAACGGAACCTTTGGTCTTGGCCCTGTGGTCTTCTTATCCTTCGTTGCCACTGTAACTCCAGGCATCGCCAAAGCCGAACCCGTCTTTGTCTCGGAATCAGTTGTCACTGTCGCCGTCACGCTCCCTCTTCCCCCTTTCTTCTTCCTCCCAGAAACCAATTGAAACCCGTCTTCCTCCATCAAATGCTTCGCCGGACGCCCAGTTTCCTCCTCCTGCTGCCGAACCTTCCGAAACTCGTCGGCAGAAGCATCAAACCGCTCCAAAATGTCGTCGTTCACGTTCACAAGCCAGTCATAGGCGTCATCAACGTCGACGGGGAATGCACCGTGTGCCGCCGCAGCAACGCCAATAGCCTCCAGCATCGACCGGGATTCCCGCGCGATTTCCTCCACGGGGACCTTGAACTCCTCGAAGTTACGGTAGAAGTGAAAGTCCTTGTCGGAAGGGATGCACCGCGACGATGCGGCGAGCTTCGCCACCGACGAGGAGAGAGGACCCGCCGTTAGGGTCTGCAGCGCCTGGGCGTTGGCGGCGGTGTGAGGTTGATCGTGATCGACATCCATGGCGTCGTGGAGATCGATCGAGGGTAGTGAAGATTGGGGATTTTTTCTTAGGGTTAGGGTTTTAGGATTTTATGTGCGTCGACATCATTGCTGAGCACTGCGTTTTGCTCTGAACTGAAACATAAAAGCGAGAATGGGAATCTTTCCGAAACCAAAAAAGGGTTGATTTGGGGCAACGGCGAGTGTTATTTATATACGTTTATGTCACGTGGTATGGGTATGACTGTGAACGTAGGGATAAAAGTGTGATTTTTTATTTTTTACAAAATAATGAGATAAAAGAATTAATAATAGTAAAATTTTATTAAAAAATATTTATTATAATTTTTAAAATTTAATATAATAAATAAATATTTTTATAAAAAAAAATTATATTTATAAATATTTAAACTAATTTCTAAGAGTTGAAGTTAATAAAAAAAAAATTATTTTATATAGATGTCAAATTCATAAATTTATTAATAGGAGTATATTTTTATATGACTATAATTTTTTAATATAAGTTTATTTAATTATATTTTTTTAAACTTATGTTACTATATTTTTAAATTTATAAAGTAAATTTTATTATTAATAATTATTATTTTATCAAATTAAATATAATTAAAATAAATAAATAAAGTTCTAAATTAAAAATTAAATAATAAAAATAGAAAAAAAAGTCATATGACATAATTAGAAAGAATATCATTTTGAATAATATTTTTATTTAATATAGGTCTTAAAACTATGATTTTAATTTATTTTTTTTAAATATTTGATAGAATATAAATATTTTAAAACAATTTTTTTTAGGCAAAATTACTCTTTTTTAAAAAAATATTTGATAGAATATAAATATTTTAAAAGAATTTTTTTAGGCAAAATTACTCTTTTATTTTCTAACTTTTTTTTTTATTTTAGTCCTCTAACTTTTTAAAAAGTTTTAAACAGGTATTTTTTCATTAAAAACCTTAACTTCATTAAAAAGTTTTGTCATTTTGTGTCACGTATATTGTGTGTTACTGTTTATTGTCTTCTTTCTCAAATCTCTAATTTGATTTTTAGCAACTTTTTTCTTCTTTTTTCTGCCTTTCATCTTCATCTTCTTATACTTAAAATTTCATCTTTATTTTCTTATACTCAAAACTTCATCTTCTTGCTACTAACACCAAGCACTCACCCTCAAATTTCAAACCATAAATAAATCAACTTTCTAAATAATCATTTTCTATCTTCGTCAATTTGTATTTATTTTCAGATTATATTTTAAGCTTCCAAAAAATGGTATTCTTGTCAATGAAGGCTTAGGAGGTCAGGATAGCATGGAAAATCAATAAAATGAAAAATGGGAACATGTGTTCAAATCTACTGGAGATGAAAAATGAGTATTAGAAAGTTAGGTTATTTATGGTTTGAGATTTGGCGATGGGTGTTTGTTGTTAGTAGCAAAAAGATAAAGTTTTGAGTATAAGAAGATGAAGATAAAAGAGAGAAGGAAGAAGAAAAACTGTCAAAAACTAGATCGGAGATCTAAGGAATAAGACGATGAACAGTAATACACAGTATACAGACACAAAACGACAAAACTTTCTAATAGAATTGTTTGGAGTAAGAAAAATTTTCTAAGTTACAAAATCCTGTTGGAGGATTTACTTTTTGAGAAGTTTTGAAGGGTTTAGAGAAGAGCCTTCACAAGCTGAAAATTGCACTTTTTGAGGAAATCCTTCTTCATCAAGAGAGAGATTTTGTGTAGTTTTTTGTACAAAACATAAAGAAACCCAAAATTGCTCAAAAATAGGACGGACATAAAAATATTCTAAATCCACAAAACTATAGGCTTTCTAAGGAGTTTTTGAGGAATTTTCAAGACCCCGACACTTAAAATTGCTCGAAAACAAGACTGACAAAAATATATTATGTCCACAAGACTGGAGGCTTTTCGAGGAGTTTTTGAGAAATTTCCAAGTCTCTTATACCCAAAACTGCTCGAAAAAAAGGACTGATAGACAAATATTCTAAGTCCACAAAATTAGAGGTATTTTCGAGGAGTTTTTGAGGATTTTTGAAGCCCCTTACACCCAAAATAGATCAAAAATTGGAGTGACAAGAAATTATTCTAAGTCTACAAAACTGAAGGTATCTTCAAGGAGTTTTTAGAGGATTTTTAAGTCCACAAACCTGATTGAGCTCCAAATTCCCTCTAGAATTGCTCAAAAATAGGAAGTAGCCAGAAAATATTATAAGTCCACAAACCTGGTTAGGCTCCAAAGTTTCCTCCAGAATTGCTCGAAAAAAATAGGAATGAATAGAAGAAATATTCTAAGTCCACGAGAACAAAAAGAGCTATCAGATTCCTTAGAATTGGTCAAAAAATAGAAATCAAGGGAGAAATTATTCTAAGTCCATAATGTTAAATAAGCCTCTTAGATTTCTCTCAGAATGGCTCGAAAAATAGAAAACAAAAAAGAAAAGATTCTAAGTCCAAAAGAATCATGATATGACTTACGAGGCTCAGAAGCGGTTACCAGCAGTTACCACTAGACGAAAGATCAACAGCACGAAGTAGGATCGTGGATGATAGCAATTATGAAAGAAACCACAATCGACAGCAAGATTAGAGCCAGTCACGAATAATAGACAACAGTTGAAGGCAGTTACTAAGAAATGCCTGCAAAAGAGGGAGAACGGTGGTGTCCATCCTGCCTATAAATACTCCAAAAGTTCATTTTACACAGGATGACTTTTTGCACCTAGACACCGCACCTAAAATTTTTTGTACGCTGAAAACCTGACCACGTCAAACACTAGCTTCCAAGAGGTTCACGGTAGTTGTTCGTTGTTGTTAGAAGTCGTACATTACATTTCTGCATATTTATGTTTTCGTATTTTAGTTTCAGTTCATTTTTCTTATTTTTGTTCCTACAATTTGGTTCTTGTTTAGCACATTTCTGTAAAAACGTCTACGTTTGATTAAGCTCTGGGTAATCATCATTTGTTACTTCTATTTTACAATGTCAGTTTGATCATCATGTTAACAATACACTTAAAAGAACGCAAGAGGACCTATAATAATACCATTTGAAATTAGTCCTTAAAAAATTATTAGAATTTAGTTTATCATATTTTTTTAAATGTTTGGAATTAGTCACTATCATTAGTTAAATTTTGTTAAGTAATGAGCTGAATAACATAAATTTAGCTCATTATTGTCACATATATATATTATCAAAAAATTAATAATTAATTCATTTTCTTTGACCTTTATCACTCTTTTTTAATTCTTCTTCAACCCCACTTCATCATCTCAAATTCCATTATAGGGTGTTGGATCTTATCAACTATGGTAGCTTACTAAAAATAATCTATGTCAAAATAAATTTATCATACGTGATTACAACAACATTTAGCAAAAGTTTCTTGTCAAAATAACCAATGTCACACTTTTTGTTCTCTTCTTCACCCTCATTTATGACGCCTCAAACTATCTTTCTAACCTAACACTAACCATAATCTTAACCCTAAACCTAAAATCATTTTTCTCTCTAAAACCAACACCTTCAAAGCCCTAGCTCATTATCTCCATTATTTTCTCACTTCAAATGACATCGCATTCTTCTTCACCCTCATTTATGACGCCTCAAACTATCTTTCTAACCTAACACTAACCATAATCTTAACCCTAAACCTAAAATCATTTTTCTCTCTAAAACCAACACCTTCAAAGCCCTAGCTCATTATCTCCATTATTTTCTCACTTCAAATGACATCGCATTTGACATCATCAATTCACAACATTACGAGCTCAAAGACCTCCCAAAGAAAAATGTTCATTCTCCTTGTCATTTCTATATGGCAAGATGAAAAGTCTCCTACTTCTTGATTCTTTGCCATGTTGTTTGTCGATAGCACTACCAACTTTTAGGTTGGCTCCTTATTCCTCTTGCATAGCAAGTTCCCCATCTTTGGTGTCAAAAGCCGAGCTATGATGACTCATTCAATGTCATCACGAGGGATCTCATGAAGCACATGAGGGCTCTAGGCACTGCAAAGGTGCTTCATTTGTGGGAAGGGGACGTTGATGGTTATAATGTGGACATCATTTTTTATCAATGGTGTGAGAAGGTGGTTGGAGTTTTGAAAGGTAGTATTGTGAAAAATAGCGACAATAGTGCCGAAGATTGAAAACAAAAATGCCAATCTAAATGGCAAGGTCAGCAAGTCGAAGAAGAATAAGAAAAGGAAAAAGAAAGTGAATCAAAATCTAAGGAGCAAAAATGCCATTACCATTGCTATTGCCATTGCCATTAGACATTACAAACTGATGCAAAAGTGAAAGTGGAAGTGGAAAAGAAGAAGAAGAATCTTTTCGCACTTGAATCCTAATGTGGAAAGAGTGCAAATGTTAAAGAGAGAAAGAAGAACATAAAAGAGAGAAAATTTAGATTGGCATTTTGCGATAAGTCTCTATAAAATTTTTGTTAAGATTTAGTCCCTACCGTCAACTCTTCTATGTTAAGTGCTGAGCTGAATGACGAAAAGTCAGCTCAACACTGACACATAACATGCCACATCAATTATGTTTATTATATTTTATTATTTAAAATAAATATTTGTAAACAAGTCCTTATCATATAAATATTTAATAAAGTGAATATTTGTCTTTAGTAATTCAAATTGTGTGAATTTAATAGAATTCTGATGTAATTTTATTAGTTTTGTAGGAGATTCTAAGTTTAGAGTCTTGAGGATAAGGATTGAAGAAGATTCAATTGAAGAAAGTGGAAGAATTGAGCTTAAAAATCAAGATCAATTGCATAACAACTCTTAAGTGCTGAAAGTTATCACTCCAGCAACAGAATTCATGAAGGGTCTTACACGTAAATACTTATGCCCAAGGCTAATTAGTCCAGAAACCTTTCGCATAAACACTCTTACTACTAAAAGTAGCTACGCACAATTGCACATAACCACTCTTGCTACTGAAAGTAGCTACGTGCAAGGCAAATTCACACAGAACACATGCGCGTGGACACTCTTGCTATTAAAAGTGTTTACGCAAAATATCAGAATTTGGAAAATTGCTTTTTAGTGTCAACTTTGGGCGTTTAAAGTTCTTACTTCAGCCTTAGAAGCTTCTGAAAGGCCTTCTACATTACAACTCTCGGTGATTAAAGTGCCAACG